AAGAGGTGGGAGTATAAGAAGTTTGTATTGAGGACATACAGTGGTGGAAAGGTAAGAATGAATTCCGAGGTGGGGGTTGGTGGTCAGGGAAGGTTTTAATCAGGAGGTGGCAATTGAGAGTTGTGAAGGGTGCCTAGGGAGTTTTTCAGGTGGATAAAGTGGGGAAATCATTCCAGGCAGAGGGCACAGCTTGTGCAAAGGCAGGGAGCATGGAAGGGCCTGCTTCATTGGTTGTGGCAGTTGCATATGGAGCCTGGGTTTTCTGTGCGGGTTGGCACTACCTGAACACCAGAGGTCACATATTTCTTCTGCAAAAATTATCAGAAGGATCAGGGGTGGGGTGGGGTGGTGGTGGATTATATCTCAATTCTTTCACTTACAATTTTTTGTAGTTTGAGGGGATATGATTAGCAGCTTTCTGGGGGCAGCCTCTTTGATGTTGCTCAGGAACCATCATTTATTTCTGCATCGCATGTCCATCCTCTTAGGGAGAAGAGGCCGGCTCGCAATTAGTTTATCAGGATCCAGACAGCCCTTTGGAAAGTTTGTCAAGTGGAACAATTGTTGTCTGGGCTGTTAACAGTCCAAAATGAAATAAACATGTGGTGCACTTAGTGAGCTGCTCAGATATCACTGCCTTTTAATGGAAATGAATAGATGATATCAGGTACATTTTAATTAAAGCAGCACTGCAGTGCAGTAGCTGTTACATATGAAAAGATCTAATGGTAGGTGTCACAGGAAGCTGTTTAAATTGCCTATTGTTCAGAGAACTTGTTCTAGAGAGTAAGGGATAGGAGGTGCAGTTCTCCAGTTCTTGTTATTTATGGGTGAAAAATAATTCTGGGATTTCCAGGTACACTACTAATAATGAAAATTCAGAAGACTGAAATAATAGTAGTAATAACACATGTCCATGAGTTTTCTCCAATGGCTTGGAAATGTGAATAATAAAAAATTCAGCGATTACTCCCCCATGGCTTTACAGTTTGTTTTGGTCACAGGGACAGAGGGTTGGATGTAGCCCCAGGGGCCAAGTGAATGCATTTTGCTGCCACCTGCCGGAAACTCGGAGAGATTTCCTTTTTGTAGAACCTCCTATGCTGTTCATTAACTGGGAACTGAACAGAGGTATGAACAGAGCCCCCAGCCTCCAGGGAGCATGCAAAATATTGGCTGATTGGAACAGGCTTAGAGCATATTCTTCAGGGATATTGCTTTTGGGATATTAAGAACCTCTGCAGGAGTCCAGGAGCCCAAATCTCATCAACTGGTTGTGAAATCCTGCTGGTAATGGGGTCTTGGAGCATCTCTCCAGCATCATATTCCTGTGCATGGACCAGGGGAAAACAGATTGCCACCATGGACAGTGAGTCAGACTAGATTTGAAATGAGCCCGACCCAAGATGATTTGCTTGGGAGCTTAGGTCTGTTACCTTGAAGGAGGAGTGAGTGGATTTTGGCCCTGAGCACTGCCTGGGCAGGGCTGAGGATCCTCCAGAAGCAGCAGCAGCAGCAGCAGCAGCAGCAGGTGTCCTGGGAGATTAGGGTGGAAGTTCGGAATCCCAGAGCCAGGCGTTGTTAACTGTCTCTGTGACATTGACACTTTGCCTTCTAGGTTTTAAAAGATATTTCTTCCCCAGAAGCTTTTTATCCTGCTTAATTCCAATTCCCAGCTTCAGCCATTTATTGAGCAGTTATGGCCAAAGTAGAAAACTTTAAGAGAGTTTCCTTGGATAGGGCAAGAAGCAGAAACATTAAAATAAAAAAATTTATTTTTAATGGAACCAACACTGTCATGCTATGTAAGGTTCAGGAGAGGCCATGTAAATGCCATCTTATTAATAGATTTTCTGATTCCTTAGGCAGTGTGCAAAGTGCTGTCTTTTACACACCCTGCTATCGGCACAGGGCATTTTCATCTTGAAAAGGACCAATTAAAGGGAGAGAAGAAAACCATATCTGGAAACCTAACTGATTTCTCTTGTTCTGTTTTTATGAGATGTTTTCATAACAAGAGCAATACATTTATCTTAAAACCAGGGAATCCCCTTTACTTGTGGGTTGTAGGGAGAGGAGTGAGTACAGACTTAACATCGATTTCACAAAGAAAAGCCAGAGTGAGAGCCCTTCTAGGTCAGCTGAGCAAGTGGAAGGATTAGGAGGAAGGGGGTCATCTGTACCTTTTGTATGATTCCAGCTGAGCTGAAGACCAGGGAGCTGGAATGGCCTGGAGAGGTGTCCTTAGAAATACAGATGCATCAGACCACAAATGGGCACCAAGTATGTGCTAGGAGTTTCACGCAGCTATTGCTGGACCCTCACAAGGCTGGGAGGCAGGTATCATGCTCATTTTCCAGATGAGGGAACTGAGGCTCAGAGAAGGGAAGGGGTTTTTTTCCAAAGGGCACAGAGTTAGGGGGACAAGATAGGACTGAAATTGGCTCTTAGTTTAGTGTTGTTTCCACAACACTTTCTGGATTGAGGGAGCTATGTTCTCAATTGGGAATGGGGATCCAAGGGCACCGCTGGGGTGTTCTATCCGTTCTATAGAATCTGTTTGGGTTCCTTTTAGGCTTGTCCAGGTTCAGGGCTCCTAGTCTAGGGATTCAGACATCTTAAGGATGACCATCATAGTGAGTCTTTAGTGCCTGCATTGGTCAACTGTTGCCATGATCAACACACAAAACTTAGTGCCTAAAATAACTTTTATTTTTGTGTATGCGGTTGTAGGTTGGTTTGGTACTGGCTTATCTAGGACAGCTTTGGCTGGGCATGGTTTCACTCAGATAGGCTATTTACTTCACCTGTCTCAGTCTCTTTGGACCAATGGACTAGCAGGGCTGTGTTCTCATCATGATGCAGAGGTGCAAGAGAACATTCAGGCCTCTGCTTGTGTAACATTGCTAACATCCCAATGACCCCAACGAGTTACATGGCCAGGCTCAAAGTCAAGGGATGGAGAGGTTTACTCCCACTATAGTGGAAGGAACTGCAAAGCCACACAGCAAAGGGTGTGGATATGAGAGGGGTAAATATTTGAAGCCAATAAACCACAGTCCTTTTAGAAAGTTTCCTTGGCCTGAATGCAATCCCATCTTCAAATGGTACCCCCAGATACACATATTTCCCTGAGGTCATTGAATCCAAAGAAATGATTGTGCCTCCATTCATCAGTTAATTAACTGCATCCTAAGGCACTGTGGCTACAGGGATGCTTCTTTTCTGTCCAGCTAAGGGCCCATCCATTCCCCAGACTACTTTCCAAATTTTTATCCAGAGAAAGACCAGCTTAGAAGTGCTCTGAGATCACTCTTGATTTAATTTCTGCCATATAGATGTAGTACAGTATAGATCTGAACTATTATATTGGTTCCTTTCTGAAATATTTGTTCCTTTCCTGACTTTTCAAGGTGATTACAGAACTATTGGTATCTGAGCTTCCTTGGAGATAAACATCACCAGTCTCAACAAGAGGTGTATGGTGTGCTATGATAGGCTCATAGATGCCTCTTTAACTCAGTGCTGCTTTGCACAGGGCAGGTACTCAGTCTTTGTGATTTGAGTCTATGCGAGGGACGAGCAGTATCAGGCAGGTAGGATGGAAACGTAAGTGAGATCGTAATTTAAGCCAGAGCATATCCCACTCTTCCTCCCTTTAAACACTTACCGTAAAGCCCTTCAGCGATATCCTGTTGCAACTAGAACAGCACCCGTCTCTGTTTTGTGACTTATGAGGCAGGGCCCACTCTTTGGCCTCATCTGCCACTTTCCCGCTGGCCCACTCTGCTCAGCCACACTGGCCTTCTCTCTGTTCCTCGAACACACCAAGTTTGTTTCTGGTTTGCATTTACTCTTCTCTCAATCTGGAAAGCTTTTACCCCAGATCTTCCCATTGCTGGTCCCTTCTTGTCATCTAGGTTTCAGCTCAGGAGAACGTGCCTTGACCATCCTTTCTAAAGCCCTCAGGCAAATTGCTTTCTATTTCATTACTCTGCATTTCCTGCGTAGCAATATTGCAATCTCAAATTATCTTATTTGTTTGTTTATTTTTTGTCCTCTCTGCACCCCTGCCCCAGGAACGCGTGCCCGATGAGGACTTCTCCAGTACCTGGCAACATGTGTGTTATACAGAGAGCCTCAGTGATACCTGCTGAGAAAGTACTGAATGAATGAATGAATGCAAAATGAATGGTTGGAAGAGCTGTCTTTGAGTAAACTGGTTTCATGTCCGTTCTACAGAATCCGTTTGGGTTCCTTTTAGGCTTGTCCAGGTTGGAAGAGCTGTCTTTGAGTAAACTGGTTTCATAACTGCTGCATTTGTGAGGGAAAGACTTAAACCTTTGGTTCAGAGGACAAGGGGAAGTCTGACACAAACTGAGGAGGCAGTTATCTGCAATGTGCCTTTAATTTAACCCTTGGTCTGCCTTGGTGATGACGAGCTTCTGTTCCAAAGAGTCTTGCCTGACCAGCCTTCTCTTGACAAAAGCCCAGATTGCTGCAGTGGTCCCTGTTTCCTCCCAGGAAGAGTAAGGAGAAGATAGATTTTCTTCCTAAGTCTGTGGGGCATGAGGTGAGGTGGGAGGACAGATGAGGTTGTGATAGCTCTTGATGTCCTGACGAACATTCACTCAGTCTCTGGGACAAATTGGGAGCAAGCTCTCCAAATCTTGCCTCTGCGACTGCATTACTATTAGACAAAAGTTGACAGCTGTTGCTGATTAAAGCATTCCTGACTGTGAGAGCAGAATTGCACTATTGAGATGCTAAGTGTAGATGGATGCACCTTTTGTGAATGAATAGCTTAAACACAGTCCCTTAGGGTGAGCTCTCGCCTTATTACTGTATATAATTGGAAGTCGCTTTGCAGTCTTGAATGTATCATTCCGTAGACACCCCCCTCCCTACCTGTAGGTTCATGGATTCTCTTTTTTGGCCAGTGTTTCTGCCACCCTTCTCCAGTGGGGGGCAGGATACCTTTCTATCTTTTTCCTCTTTCTCACAAGTGGTCATGCCAGGTTAATAGGGAGTGCTCTGTGGAGGTGTTTATTGGTGATGGTGGTGTCAGATTTTGCTAACACATTAGTCTCTGAAGCAGGTAGTTCCAGGCTGCAATCCTGTATCCACAGTCCCTAGATCTGAAACAGCTTGGAAACTCAGTTTCTTCACAATTCACCTGACAGCAAAACCTGCCCTGAGCTAAACTCATTTGGTGGCAAAACTTGACCTCAACTGATATGTGGCTGTTTATAGTCTCTGTTTAGGCAATTAGAGGAAAATGCCATAGTTTTTATTTCAGGGATATGGTATGTGATTGTGGGGTACTGATTCAGACTTTGCTGAGGGAGGTTACATAAAATGTAGTACATAGGCCATATTACCTTTCTAACATAAGATACATTCTGAATCTGAAATATATTAGACCCTGAGGATTTTGGATAAGGGACTGTCCATCTGTAATAAATGGGGAATGAAGTGAGACAAGGGACAAAGAAACTATAATATCAGTGGGGTAATGGAGCAGACTTGCCTTCCTTTTTGGCCCAGTGAGAGAACATCTCCAGTACCCACCACTGGCTTCCTTGTCTTCTCGGCCACTCCTGGCCTCTGTAATTTCTGTTCAATATTGCTGCGAGCAGTCTTCATTTTAAGTCATAACAGCTCTTCATTCCTTTTCAGTGCTGGGCTCTGGGATGGACCCTGACCTTCAAATGGATATTATCACCGAGCTTGACCTCGTGAATACTACCCTTGGCGTCACGCAGGTGTCTGGACTGCACAATGCCAGCAAAGCATTTTTATTTCGAGGTAAAGGCTCTCTTCCTTTGCATGGAGCAGGGCTTGGGGAGGAGGTCTGTCTGGAGAATGTTCATCTGGTGTGTATTTGTTGGAAGATCATCTCTGCTATTTCTCTTGTGTTATTATCATAGGGAATCTTCAGAAATGCCGAGGGTGTTTGGATATATGGGGGGTGTTCTGACAGTGTGAGGTGGGTACTAGAGGACATGGTGGTAAAATATTTGGTTTGGTAGTGAAGTATTTCCCTGGAGATTTTGGTGGAGAGCTAAAGTGGAATGAATTTTCAAAAAGTCCTTGAAAGCCATCGGACAGCCATATTATTTTTACAGGATATATCTTTAACTGTTATCTGTGTCTTTACTTATACCTACACCTATTCTTATAGCTATATCTCTCACCTTATCGGGTCGACCATGAGCACGGAGGATGTTTTACAACTGTATTCTCTTAGGGGTGCAGCTTAGTTGGTTCTGCGCACTAGGCTTGAGTATACTTCATTAAATCATTTAACGGCATTCATAAAAGCAGTATAATGTGCTTCTTAAAAGCATGGGCTCTGGAGCCCAGCTACCTGGGATCAGATTCCTACCCTGCCACTTATTGGCTTCAAGAGTTTGGGCAATTACTTGGCCAGACTCTGCCTGTGTCCTCATTTAAAATAATCATACCTACCTCATGGGGCTCTCGTAAGGATTAGAAAAGCTAATCCAATGAAGTGTTTAACACAGTGCCTGCGACACAGGAAACCCTCAGTAAGTACTAGCTGTTATCATGGAACTTTTCCTCCAGACCAGGCAACATGTTAATAGTAGACCGACCAGTAAGTGTACCTGAGATAGAGGCAGCCCCTGCTCTCAAATGTGGTGTGGGAAACAGTCATTACACAAGGAATTATTGAATTATGATTTTTGTACTTACAATTAAGGGGATGTATAAACTGTCAAATAAGAGTAGTATTGGGAGATCTGATTTTACTGGGATGGGGAGATGGTAGTCAGGGGAAGGCTGCCCTGAACAAGTGCTACATCAGCAGAGATTTGAAAAATGAATGGAAAGCCTGGTGTAGGAAGGGGTGAGGCTCGTCATTCTGGGCAGAGATTGAAATAGTATGAAGGTCTTAAGGCAGAAACCAACAAAAAAGATGAGTAGCATGGCCGAGGGGTGGTGAGTGGCTGGAAAGGTAGGCAGAGGCTAGGTTACATTGGACCCTGTAGGCAGAACTGATATCCATGGGTTTGTGTATACCGGTGATTTATGGCCAGTGTCCATTCCGAGAGGTGGAAGGTGATGTATTTGTTGTTATCTACTGTAAGAATTACTTCTGCTTGTTGGCCATGTTAGCGGTTTTGTATTTTACTCCCAGAGCAAAGAGGCTGTAGAGGCTGAAGCTGAGGAGCGACCTGATCAGACATGGCAGTCAGGTAGCCTGGGTATTCCTCTATGGAAAGGCCTGGCAGGTTTCTTTTAGCTCAGCCTTTTATGAAGGTAACAAAAGAATTGTTTTAGAATGAACTAACATTATTGGGTGAGATTTACATATTTACTATATAGATAACTTAAGCCTTGTTAATGATATACATGAAAATCTACAGATAGTATATAATGACACATAATAAGACTATGGATATGTTAATTTCACTTAGTCTTACTAAAGAATGGTAAACTGGGTATGATTAAGAGAATACAGATTGGATTACTTTTTTCTTTGCATTGTGCAAGCAAGGTCCGCTCAGTAACTGTTGAGAGACCATACTATTCTTGGCCTGAGCAGTGCTGCTGATACTTTGTCAACAGAGTTGCTATGGAAGCCAGGCTTGTCTGTAGGCTTCATGAGAGAAGAAGTCGTGCCTATCAAGATACCCCTAGGTATCTAGGGCCAAGTCTTGTCCCTGCACATAGTAGATGATTGATAAACATTTTGGGTTGAAATAAAATTTCTTCTGTTCATGTGCCCTGTGTAAGGATTTTTGCCTACTTTATTCTCTATTTATTTACTCATTTATTTATTCCACAAGAATGGGCTTTCTGGGCTAGAACTCTGCTCTCTTATTTGTGTGTTCTCTGCTTTGGCAACTGCCCCTGGGATATCTACCAGGTTCCAGCAGCAGGAAGGGATTCTCAGATTCTTTGGTGGGAAGAGTCACTTCATTATGGAAGTTTGAGAAGGGCTTTTCCTTATAAGGACCCTTGTGATTATATCGTGTCTACTTGGATAATCCAGGATAACCTCTTCAACTCAGATCTGTAATTTAATCATATTGGCAAAGTCCTTTTTTGCCATGTAAGGAAACATATTCACAGGTTCTGGCAATGAGGACATGGACATCTTTGGGAAGCCATTATTCTGCTTACCGCAAAGTCTGACCACTGGCTCTCTGCCAAAGATTCATGTCTGTCCCTTCTGATTGTTTCCAAAAGTCTCAACCCATCATAGTGGCAAGGGGAACCAGGCTGCACCTCAACACTTTGCTTGGAAATCTCCTCAGCTAAATGTCCAAGTGTATCTTCTACAAGTTTTGCTTCTCATATAATTACAGGACACAATTTAGCTAAGCTTTATGCCACTCTGTAACAAGGATCCTGTATTTCCAATATGTTCCTTATTTCCCTTTTAGCCCTCACCAGCAGTATTTTTAACATCCATATTTCTAATAGCTTGCTCACAATCATTTAAGTGTTCTATAAGATAATATAGGGTTTTTTTTTTCTGTTTGTTTATCATGCTCTTTCCTCCTTTCTGAGTCCTCACGTATCATCCATATTTCTAACAGCGTGTTCAAGGCAGTCTTTTTCTGTCATGGTCCTCAAAATTTTTTCAGCCTCTGCTTATTACTCCACAAAGTCATTTCCACAATTTTACTTATTTGTTACAGCAGCACCTCACTTCCACGTACCAAAATCTTTATTAGTTTCCTCTTGTTGCTCTGACAAATTACCACATCGAGTGGCTTAAAACAAAACAAATTTATTATCTTACAGTTATGGAGGTCAGCAGTCCAAAATGGATTTTAGGGGGCTAAAATCAAGGTGTTGGCTGAGCTGTGTCCATTCTACAGGATAATCAGTTTATTGCCTTTTCTGGAAGCTGCTACACTGCATGGTTCCTGGCTATGACTTTCCAACTTCTGCATCTGTTGTCATATCCTTTTCTCTCCTGCTTCTGTGGTCAGATTATCTTCTTTGATATCAACTCTTCTGCTTCCTTTTTTTCTCTTATAAAGACCCTTGTAATTATATTGGGCCCCCTCAGATAATCCAGGACAATCTTCTCAAGATCCACAACTTAAGTATATTTGAGAGTACTCTAAGGTAACATATTTATGACTTCTTGGGATTAAGATGTGGACATTTTTTTTGTGGAGGAGGCAATAATTATGTTTACCGGAGGATGGATACCTACTGTTGGGCAGAAATATGAACAATATAATGTTTCTAGTGTACTCCAAATAAATTCTGCTTTCTAGTGCAGCACTGTCCAACAGAAATGTAATGTGAGCTGTATCTGTAATTTTAGTTTTCATAGTAACCATAAGTAAAAAGAAACCAGTGAGATTAATTTTGATTATACATTTTATTTAACCCAATATATTCAAAATATTATCATTTCAACATATGGTCACAAAAATTATTAATAGATATTTCACAATTCTTTAGAAAGTCCTGATTATCTAGTTTACATTTTATAGTTACAATATAGCTTAATTTGGAAGCAACATTGTCATCAGAAATAATTGATCCGTATTTAGATTTTATAAAATTTAAGGTTGAAAAAATAGATTTGCCAAGTTCTTCCATACATGCTTAAGTATCAGATTTTAAAAATTAAACAGCTTTATTGAGGTATAATTGACTTATAGTAAACTATGCCTACTCAAAGTATACGATTTGATAATTTCGACATATGAGTACAGCATGAAACCATTCATTACCATAATCAAGATAACACACTTATCACCCCAAATGCTTCCTCTTTTTCCCTCTTGTAATCTCTCCCCCGGCACGTCTCAGCTCTTATCCTCTACAACTACTCATCTGCTTTCTGTCACTATAGCGTAGTTGGCATTTTCTAGAATATTATATAAATAGAATCATACAACATGTACTTTTTTTTGGCCTGGAATTTTTAACTGATCATAGTTATTTTGAGATTTATACATGTTGTAGTATATAAAGTGTTTTTCTTGTAGGCAGCATATAGTTGGATCTTACCTATTCTTTTTTTAACCAGTAAGACAATCTCTATATTTTCATTAAGACATTTAGATCCTTTACACTTAATGTGATTATTGACATGGTTCTATTTAAATATATCTTTTTACTATTTGCTTTCTTCTACTGGTTTCATCTTTGTTCCATTTTTTTCTCCTTTGGCTTTTTTTTTGGATTAATAGAAGTTGGGTTCTTTTTTTTTTTTTATGATTTCATTTTATCTCCCTTGTTGGCTTATTAGCTATAACTTTTTGTTTCACTATTTTCGTGGTTGCTTTAGGGCTTCTAGTATACATCTTAAATTATCACTATCTACCTTCAAGTGCTAGTATACAACTTTGTGTATAAGAACATTTCAATAGTTTGCTTCTCCTGACCATAGTTCTATTGTTTTTATACATTTTATTGTTACATATGTTATAAATCCTGTCTTACATTGTTATTTTTATTTAATAAGTCAGTTATCTTTTAAACAGATACGTAGTTACCATTTTCTCTGTTCTTCAGTCCCTTGTGTGGATTCATATTTTCATCTGCTGTCATTTCTTCCTGCCTGAAGGACTTCTGGTAATATTTCTTACAGTACAAGTCTGCTGGTGATGAATTCTTTCAGATTTTGTATGTCTAAAAAAGTTTTTATTCTGTTTTCATTTTTCAAAAGATTTTTTTTGCTGGGCTTAGAATACTGGGTTTTTCTTTCAGTACTTTAAAGATTTTGATCCACTGTCTTCTCACTTGCATTTTTTCTGAAGAGAAATTTGTTATCATCCTATCTTTGTTTCTCTATCAGTAATGCAACT